TACATTACCCTGTTCCATGAGGACTGCTCTTTTCTCCAGGTGTTTGCAGTCTGCCCCAGTCTTCTTTCCTGTTGCTTTCTCAGGATTAGTTATATTAATTATATTTTCATATTATATGCAGTTTTAAGAGGATGCCTCTGTCTCACCTTTCATGCTGCCATCTTTAATCCTCTCAAATCTGGAAAAAGGTTTTTTTATTTAATAGTGTAGTTGACTGAAATACTTCTGTGTTTCTCCACAGAAATCAGAAACTGAGTTTTCCTAACTGATATGCCTTTCATTTCTTCACAACAAAAGTTCCCTTATGCCTCTTGTCTTTGAAACATACAGGTTATTTACATACCAATATATTGGTTTGTGCATGGATGAAGGTATAATGTCCCTGTAGCTACAACCCTATGTATGTACTGTGTATATTCAATTGCCTATTTATTATATCCTTCAAAAGTGAATTTAAAGAGTTTCTGTGTTTGACATAGACAATGATTAACTCATGACCCTTACACTGAACGAACTCACTTGTTAGATGGAAAGATAGACATTTACACCAATAATAATCACATATACACCTGAAACTAATAAATGGTATATGTCGATTATACCTCAATAGAAAATAAATAAATAAAATAATGTAAGCCCAGTCACATGGCATTATGTGAGAAAGATGTGTTGGCTACTTAGGAAAAATTGGGGAGTGTTCCACAGAGAAAGTGGTATTTTCTTCTGCTATTGGAACAATGGGAAGTTATTCCAATTGGAGACAAAGCAGAAGGGCATTCTGGGAAGAAAGAATAACATAAGTCAAGAGACAAAAGTTTCCAAATCTGTTTGCATTATTATTTTCCATACTGGCAATAATGGATACAGATACTAAACATATAATGTGCCCTTCAATATATTTTCATTAAATTATATTTCAAACTCAAAATAGCACCTAATATTGGTTTTGTGTGTGTGTGTGTGTGTGTGGGTATTGCTAATAGACTAATAGAAAATGAAAACAAATGAAAATATACTTTAAAAATAAAACATGCTCTAGGGGAATAAGGGCATTATAATTAGCACACATAATGTAGGTGGGGGCATGGGGAAGGCAGTATAGCACAGAGAAGACAAGTAGTGATTCTATAGCATCTTACTATGCTGATGGACAGTGACTGTAATGGGGTATGTGGTGGGGACTTGATAATGGGAGGAATCCAGTAACCATAATATTGCCCATGTTATTGTATATTAATGATACCAAAATAAAATATAAAATAAAAATAAAATAAAATGTTTCCCCAGTCCCTAAAAATATAAAATAATAAAAATAAATAAAGCATGCACCTAATGATTTAAGCAGTTTTCTTTATTTCTAAAAAAATTCCTATCATCTATACATTAAGTTTTGTAAACAAACTAAATTGTTAAAATGCAAGAAAGTATAATTTTTCCCCCGTTATCCCTTATTTGAGTGGCTCTTGATAAACATTCTCAAGATCAAAGATCATTTTGTTATTTGAAACTTTAATGTATTGTCAGAGGGTAATATGGGGCCAAAGCTTGAAAACTGGTTTAAATCCCCAGTTTACTGTCTTATTACCTAAAAGATCCTGAGAAAGTCACTTGGTCATTTTGAAAGTGAATGCTGTTTTCTACACTATAAGGATAATAGTAACAATAAGCATATCTTCCTCTGAAGCTGAGTAAACAGCACAAGCATATAAAGTGATAAAATTCAGAGACAATTTTCTAATTCATAAAATACTAGAGAAATGATCATCTTCATTATCATATTATTATATTGGAGCTCCCAATCTCATATGTCTACAAACCATTCATTTTCCTTTATTATATCTGCCTCTTTCCTGTATTCCTTATATTATAGGGAAATCATTCCTCTATTTGTTTTCCTAAGTCAGAAGCCTTGTAAACAGTTTGTTTTCTTGTTGTTGTATTGGGTTTACTTTCGATGTATTCTGAGCTCATCAACTGACTTCAGATTTGCACAATAATATATGCTTAATTTGTTCCAGTCACATGAGTTCTTCACAATTCCTTGGAAGTGTCATGCTCCTCTAAGTGTCTAGGCTTTCCCAGAAAGTTCGTTCTTTTTGCCTGAAATACCCCTGCTCTGAAGTGCACTGCACAACCTGGTTAATTCATTTTCCATCAGTCTTGTCCAGTAAGCTGTCTCTGATCTGTTAAGATAAAAACATTTTCTAAATTCTTTGTGAATTATTACACTGTATTATAGTTATTTACTCATCTATCTATCCAAGGGACTGTGAAATACTTGGAGACGGGAACTGTGACTTCTATTTTCATACTCCTGCTCAAGTGCCAGTTTTTTACTAAATGTTAAAGATACATGAGTTCAATTAGTGAATGAGTAGATGAATTTATTTGCTGTTAACTAGTCTCATACACATTCACTCTACCATCTATTATAATAGTCTTTTGTTATTATGGTAACCTTAAGTTATCTTAATCATTCAAAAAGATAAAATTATGCTCAGCATAGTTTTAGCATTAATAATAGTTTGTATTCTATTTTACAGTGCATATATACATATACACATATTCTGCATAAATGAAAACTGTTATAAATATTGAAGATAAATGTTATTAAGTACCCCAAATTTATGATAAATTAGAACAGTATTCATAAACAAAACCAGGTAAAAGGATAATTAGGATAACTGGATTCCAGTTAAATTTAAATGTAACCACAAGGAAGATGATCTGTCTTATTTGTATCTTCTTCACCGTTCCTAGTAACCGCCATATCCAGACTGCTATTGTGCCAATTGGCTTACTATTATTAAAAGATAGAAAGAAAAAAAAAAACCTACCTCCTTAGTATTTAGTTGCTTCATTACATTAGTTCAATGATGTTTGCCTCCCTTAAACAAATCCTGGCACCATCTCTTACTAAAGTTCAGGACAGAAAATACAATTCCCAAGGAAACAGGGGGTATTAATATTGGCATATTCAAACATGTGCAAATCACAATGGTATTCTAATGTAGAAAGATTCAATTGCATTTTTATTAAATAATCTTAAATTTTAATCTGCTATATTTTAAACAGGATTACACAATATTTTAGATACTTAAGGAGTTTTCATCCTAAAGCTCATCTCACAAAAGCTAAAATCCTCCTGTCTTACTCTGGGGAACTAGGAAAATAGCGTGAACAGAAAGGTGTTATTACATTTATTTGTTAGAATAGGTGGCTTTAAATGTTTCATAGAAAGATCCAAGTTTTATCTGTTTCTTTGGTTGTAATATGGCATCTCCATATCACAATCCAAATATTATCCAAAATGAAATCAAGAGAGTCTTTCGTAACATCTACAATAATTTAGTAGTTCTGCTGTAATTGACACATTTGATGGATGGATTTATGTTGATGACATTAAGGCTGCTTTCACTTTATGGGGAAATAACTATAAACTGGAAGAAATAAAACTTAAAGTTAGATTCAGCTGTGTTCAATAGGCTAAGGCACAGTATTTGCTTTTAAAGAGGAAATTCCACAAAACTATATTAATAAGCAGGTAGTGTTTCTTTAAATTAGAAAAATAAAGCATCCTGAATAGTAAGAAGTTAGAAGCTATGACATCCATATTGATTTTGAAGAAAAGGACAATCGTTTAGACATGCAAAAACAAATATTTTTTTATAAAATAACAAAGGAATTAAAATATCCACATTCTTATGAAAGAATGATGGTGATAGCCAAATTTAGCACGTCTAGCCATTATTTCTTGCAACATACATAGAAACAGAATCTCTTCTGACTCTGTTTCAATTATAATAAAACTGACAATCTTTCAAAACTTCTGCTGCTATGGTAAAGAAATATTTTAAAAGGTAGCAAAATGGTTATATAACTATATAACCAAAAGTTAAAATTTACACATTATCTTGGAAACAGAATAGTATTTACAGTGTAAGTCTTCTATTAGGAATTGCTTTTACCCAAATTAATGTTTAAAATTAAGCTATAAAATATATTCTGATATGATCTCTTTGCCAACTATAAATTTAAGGGACCCAAATACAATCCATTAGCAGGAAGTAAAATCTACTTGTAAATGGTATGATAAAAGCAGTGATTTTGTGAAACATTATGTGAAATTAATTCAGACAGCAGAAAATTCAGAGCATTACAGTTACCATAAAACTTGCTACTGTGAATGGCTTCTATTTTTAAAAACCAAATTTTCTCTGAATTTGCTATTTTAACAAGCATATTGGGTAGGTTGAACTTCTACAGAGGTCATTTGGGGGTATGTAATCACTCTAAATTACAGCGGGAAAAAAAGGGGGAAAGACATGCCTTCTCTACCTACCAAAACAACATAATTGAAAATGAATGATAATGGTTGTATCCATAGAACTTCAGCAACCATACATCAGACAGCGTTGGGACAGCAATGTGTGTTTATCCCTCATCTGAAATCTCCAACCTACTGTCCTTAATCCATATGATCAGTTTGTTCTCCACTATCACAAACAAATGCAAATGAAACACAGCTCCAATATTAATCTTTCCTAATATTCCCACTACGCTATTCCTTTTGAATGCGTGAATAATCATGATATGTCTTTTGCTCCAAAGTTGTGCCAGAATTACATCATCCCTATTTGTGACTACCACAATTACTGGAAAACATGATCCAAGAATTTGTTTGTCTGCCCTTCCTCCAAGATTTAAACAAATTTAAGTTGTAGAAATCTGTACATTTTATTCATTTCCACAACACAGTTTTACATTAGAAAAATAGTTGTATTTAAGATTTTTGAAAATATTGTAAAATCATCCCATAACTTAATTTTTTCCTTCACTGTGGTAGTCACATTTCTATTTTTGATTTCTCAATAAGAATTTCTACACATTTACACTTTATGTTGGTTTCTATGTTAAAAAGCCACAGAACAGGATTTAGCACATCGAATGAAATCACAGTCATAATCTGTAATTTAAGATCTTCAATGTTTGTTACAAACCCCGCTCGAGGATCTAAAGACAGGTCCCTGGGAAACTTCAGCCTTTTGCTAACGAGGATAGTAGGGTATAACCCATTGAGTTTGGATACTTCAATAATCCTTTTTTCTGTGTCAGACCAGTAGAGGTTCTTTCCAATCCAATCCACAGCAAGTGCATTGGGGACAGCTGTATTATGCACTACCTAACAAAACAAGAATTTTAAAAGTTAACAGTGTTTATGTCTAGAATAAGAACTGAGCAATTGCTTCTTGATTTTTACAGATTTATAATTCTATTTAAACATTAGAAATGGAATTTAGATAAGCATTAAACATAGAACAATTTATCCTAAAACAATTACTTACCTGTTTGTGAGTAACTGCATTATATGTAACCAGGCCCCTAGAAATTATATATGGGTTTAAGAAAGAACCAAAATAAAAAAAACTGCTGGGTGGCTGCAGTTTTTGATCATGTTTTTGTTATAGGTCACTTGTCCTATTAAAATCTGAGGCAAAAATAAATCTATCACACATGTATATATACATACGAACATGCATAATTATTGGTATTATTTATCTTTAACAGGTTCTGCCAGAGATACTAATAGCATTCACCCTCTCCCAACTGCTCTGTCCCTATTTAAATTACCTACTACAATTAGAGAAAAAAACACAACCAAGGACATACACTAAGTGTTTCAGCCTAACCAAAGGGAAGTAAAGACACACTCATACATAGTTAGAAGCAAAAAAACACTAATGAGATTGTATAATTTATTTTATAATTCTTCTTTTCCTTTCCTTTCCTTAATGCTATAGATAGTAAAGATAAAAAGTGACAACATGAACATTTTCAGCAATCAATCTATACTGAATTACAAGGCCTTTCTTCTTTTCCCCAAATTTGGAAAAATTGGCATTGCTGAGTTTAAATGAAAATTAGTGAATTAGTAATCACAAGGGAAGATGCATTTTCTTGACCCTTTGTTATGACATGATTTAAAGCAGGAATGGGATAGTGGTGGCCAGGCAGTAGAGAACTGGTATCTTTTAAAAATATTAAAGTATTGTCAAAAATATAAAAGCAACTAAAAATTGGAAATGTCATAAAAAAATGAACAAGTTTGAGTAGTGTAACTTCCACAGTTTTTATGTAAATTGTCAAATAATTAAATTACTGAAAAATAAAGCTATCTGCTTCTCTGTTCTGTATCATATTCTGATACTTTATTGTCTAGTCCATCATTCCATACAGCTATTTTGAATTGCCTGATTATACGGCATGGTATACACACATTTCAAGGTTTCATTAATATTTTGAAAACTGATTGTTCCTATAAAAAATTTCTGTATGATACCATAGATGGCTACAAAAGAGTTAAAGTAATTAATGGGTCCTATCTACTTGAATTTTACCTTCTTTATAATACATTTTACTGCATATATACAGTGCAAATAATTTTATTTTAAAACTCAAGATAACATAGAAATGGTTCCAAATAGCTCATATCTCGAACGTGACATGTATTCAATCATGCTGCTGTCTAATCAGAATATTCATGATTTTACATGAATGCATTCAATAATTTCCATCTATAATAGGCTAATTTTAATAGTGCTGTAATTTCAATCTATAATCTAGTAATTAATTTTTTCAGTTACAAATTCTCAGGCTCAACTTTTTCTTTTACATAAATCAACACATTTGAATCTTAGGCACTAATCATTCAAGCTGAAAGCATCCATTACATTTTCTAGGGTTCTGAATAAAGCTCCAAATTTTATTTACTCAATTTGATTTTTATCTTATCACAAGTAATAATGTTATAAAGAAACATACAGATATAAAATCCTCATATTTCCTATTTAAAGTTTGTGCGAACTTACACTGTACAAATGTGAAATTCAAACCAACTGAATACATTCTATGAGTTGTATCATTACCATCAAATAACATTCTCCATTCAATTCAACCACACCAATAAATTATTCAAAAATCCCATCATTGTAATATCTAGTTACCTTAATATCACTTCCATTTAAACACATTCTATTTATGCGGCTGCCATTGGGGCGGCTAGAATCAATCCAATAGATAAATTCTTCTCTGTAATCAAAGTCTATAGCAATAACATTGTTTAATCCCTAAAAGTAAAAAAGAATATGATTGAAAAATAATTAATAGACATTGTTTTAAAATGTTTTAGGGGTTCATAAAATCACTGTCTCCCTTTGAACCAACATAGCTATAGTTACTACAATGAATAGTGTTTGTGACCAATTCTTTTTAAAAGCATTGCATGTTTACTCTTTCCCTACACCATGCATTTCAGATGTTGCATCATTTACTTGAAAATATTTCCAAGTAGGCAAAAACTTTTTGGATTGTTATAAATAATAGTTTAAGTAAATAGCCAGTAAAGGGAAAGAAAAAAAATCCTGCTTTTGGGGACATAAGATGAAGGATTCTCACTTTGAGTTAATGTTAAATAAGTATAAATTTGATGCCATTATTATTTTTTCTATAGAGTGACCAGAAAAGAGGGTATATCTAAATTGGTAAGACAGAAGAACCATGAAGATTTAAGATGAGCCCTGATAGCCATCTAATGAAAGTCAAAGAAGGTTTAGAAATTTTACTTTCTGCAAAAGCTTTTGTCTCAACAATGTAAATGTCCTTTTTCTCTTCTTCGTCATGCATCAAGTGGTTCCTTAGACAGTATAGTGCCATATCAGAATTTAAAAGCTACAAGCTTAGGTATTTGACCAAAGAGGAACTGGGTAGTAACATCTTTTTCTTCCTCATAGTGGAAATGTAAAGAAATGCCTATCTTCAGACCCACAGTTATGCATTTTTCATCAGGCAATAAAACTGAACATGAAATCAACTAATGGATATCTATCTGTGCAGTACAGCTCTGTTTTGGCAGATCCGTGGTTTAATTGATTTGATTTGAGGATTGTACGTCAGGAACTGGGAATCTTCTTAGATGTCAAATTGTTCAAATGACTGCATAGGGTTAGTTTAATTCTGACCTATTGTTAGGGCTCATAGATTTATTACTGTTCAGATTTATTACCTCAATGGACTAATAAAACTTGGATCAAGATTTCTATTGTGCTAATTTTTAAGCCTTGAATGGTTTATTAATATATAAATTCTTGGGGACTTTATAGATTTATTAATATATAAATTATTATGTCAACTAAATAATTGACACTACAGACACATGGCAAAGCTCCAAGATGCCTTTGACATATCTGATGTAAACTTGCTCACAAAAACATTCACTGTAAAGTTGTAGTAAGTCAGGGATCACTTACAAGGAGTCCTATTGGTAAGGATTAGGGTCTTCAGGGAGATAGGTTTTTTGTGTGTGCTTTGGTTTGGCTTGGGGGAGAAGGGAAAGGAAGGATGGCAATTCCCACCTCTGAGTTCAGTTTCCATATTCGTTCTGAAAATTTAGAATTTGGTAATAATAATAATACTACATTAGTTTTATAATTTATTTCTATGACTGAGGTGAAGGCTAAATTATTACTGTTCAGATCTTAATTTATTTCCAATCAACTCTGAGACTAGGATAGTCTATGTATAGAAGTAAGTTAGAAAAGATTATCGCAAATCCTGACTTTTTCCCCCTTCTTTAAGCAGTGTTAAATTCTAGTGGTATTGGTATTAAAATCATAGGTTCAGATTTGCTTTTATTTGGGTTGATATGAGCAATTTCATCTTCTTCAGCTCCAGATTACAAAGTTTACCTGAAATCGCCTAACCACACTGTATTGCATGCCATTGGTCATAAACAAGAAACACAACATGACTATGTAAATTCTTTGCTACATCCAGGTGGATAAATGTAAATATACTTCTTACTAACATCATTAATCAAATTAATCAAGAATAATGACAAGAAATGCTAAAAAAAAAAAAGAATATTCAGTTACAGATTTGAAAGATTCATTAAATACTCATCACAAGCTTAAGACCAGAGGACTCCTTGACTAAATGTACTTAAGCATACATACTAGGAAGTTATTTATGCAAAATCAAATTTCAAAATATAAATTGAATATATTCCAAGGTCTTTACATGGTACAATAAATTCATTTCAATAGTAGTCTACAATATCCTTTCTTTTCAAATAATTTTTTCACCAGAGGAATAACGTAAATGGGCTAGAGTTCCATGATGGCCTGGCAATTCAAATGGATAAATTAGAACTTTCCAGAGAAGAGACTGAGAGAAACTTGAACAGAGATTTACCTACAATACCCAGTCATGACAGAATTATCCTATTCCTTTCTTTACAATAATCAATTTAGGTAATGAAAATCCAATACCAAATTTAGCATGTCAACTAGAATAAATTAAAGCTGTAAATGCAGAGGAATTGAAACTCTGAATTCTAACATATCTATCTAGCCAAGCTGGTCATTTATCTACAGCTATACCCTTAATCCCCATGGAAAACAGGGCAATGCTCTCTTTGCAGAATCATATGCAAGGAACGTTAAAACAGCCAACGGCATGGGCAAAATAATGTCTAAAAACCAGAGTTATCCCAGTGTCTTCAGTGCTAAAGTTGGTTTCATCCAAATCCTATTTGGTTCATTCATTTCTGTAGCTGAAGCTTTGTACCCTTTCAAGCTGAGATTAATTTAAGAAATTGTGTTTTGTTTCTCAATTCAATTTTACTGAAACAAAAGGCCACTTTTTAAAGTATTTTATCTAAACGTAGTATATGAATTTAAGTTATAGATGGCTTACTACAACTATATTTTAGAACATATAGGGTGAAAAAAAATCTCCCCGTTGTAATAATTTGATGGTATAAAGCTTCCTGAGAAAGATACTGACCATAACAAAGAGAATAAAATTCAATATGTTAAGGTAAATCATTCCTAATCATATACACCCAAGATTTCCAAATAATTAAGGTGAGGATATTATCTTTTCATTTCTTTTGACTGAGAGAAAATGTGGAGAGATAATTATTTCTGTTTTCTACTTCATTCTGCATATATATGGACAGAACTTTCTAAGGGGGAAAAATGTTTCTACTGCCTAGAACGCCTTGAAAATTTCTATAACATTATGATACAATTGTGGTTAAAAATGTTTCCTGACATAAATGAGGTATTACAAACAGACTGCAGGCAAAACTGGATGTAAGCTTGTCTATTTAGGCGGGGGTCTTTATTTCCTTACTCGGTGCTCACATTAACAAATGTTTTCCAAAGATGCAGTGCTCAGAGCCCTCATGAGCTTTCTCGTATTCCTCATTCCTTCTTCATTTCCATAAACACTACACTAAAAAAAACCATCTGAAATTCATCCCTACTGAGGTCCTAGTGATTTGCAGTAGTCTAAAATGATACCACTAGGGAAAAAAGTGCTATCTGAAAGTGTATATTAAAGTGGTTTGGTTACATGAAATACATTTAAATGATGCATAGAGAAAAAAATCATTTTGCTCTACTAAGAACAATCTCTGATAACATTAACCATGAAAGACAACAAAAGCAGACAATACCAGCAGAAATGTCTTGAGCCACGAGGTTAGAAAAGAAGCAAGTTGCTGTCCCTGAAACTTTGTTACAGTTCTTTCATGAAGCCAACAAATAGTGTTGCTCTATTAGTTATATGTGTGGTTCAGCCGAGCTTATAAATAGAATATCCTAAGAGAGAAATTTCTCCCTTTAAGATAATACAGTCTAAAAAGAAATGCTAAAACCAAACACACAAAAACAACCTAGTCAAGAGAAAATTACCAGGTCCCTCTTCCAGAGACCATACAGGGAAATCAATGGCTGGCTCACTTAATTTTGAAGGTGTAAAGAGGCTTACGGGGAGTATGGAGACCTACTCCAAGAGAAATAGATTATTTTAAATATTTTGTAACTTTGATGTCAGCTTAAAATCAGCACAGGAAAAAAAAAGAATTAAGTTAAATAATATAGAAAAACATGTGGCAGCAAAAAATCTTTCCATTATAAAGCAGTTATATACACTTACTTTTCTCCCTAAGGACATATCTCTTATATTATCCATGTCTTAAATAGAAAGTTGTCTAATCCTTCTATTGAAATAATTTTTCTTTGGTTTTTATAAGCTATATGGAAGTATTTTATATTTTACCTAATTTCCTCAGGGTTCACAATTAGAGAGAAAGGCAGTATGATAGAGCAGATATTGCTGGCACATTCCATACTCAAGATCAAAAACCCAAACTTCATGCTCGTGAATAAGGGACATACACATGTGGTAAGCACATGGCAAGTCTGGGGACTCCAGTGAACTCGGAGCACAGACACCATGCCAAGGTGGCAGCAGCTACACAGTTTGGATTGTGGCCTCTCACAGATGTGATCCCGCACTCCTACAACTCTTTACTTTTTCATGAGTAGCCAGAAACCTACATTTTCATGTGGAATTTTCATTTTCGATCTGTGACTTAGAGGAAAGCTGTAAAAGCCAACTGTCAAGAGGCAATATCACACTTACTAATAACTGTTTGCACTAAAACAACACGAAATTCTTAAGCAAAATGAATGAAACTCTAACAATAGCAGTAGACGATTCCATCAGTGGGTGACAACAATAATTTTAGTTTAGGTATTCTTTATGTTACTGAAAAGTCGCCTTCTTTTGTCTAAGGCTGGAATAAACATACTACAAGAACAGGAAAATATTTTTACTTCTAGCACACTTGTTCTAAACAGTGCTTTCACATATTCATGTCACTACTACATAGTTGGGGGAAAGAAAATTTGGAGAGGAAAAGAGACACAAACTAAATCTTTCCAAGAAGCTATTTTCCCTGACAACTAAAAATATGCTGTAACTAACTGTCTGTGATTTCCCCAGGCCATGGAGTCATCAGTCTGGTTTTAATGATTTGCTTGTAAGCCATTTCCACTGTGGATAGGGAGGAAAAAAAAAATTGAGGTGAGCAATGCAGTTTTTCTATCCCGCCATAAAATGGAAATTATACCTCTCTATTGCAAATAACATATAAATAAATTCTGATAATAGGACGCAAATATCAGAACTTATCAGCCCAGACTCTCTTGAAGTAGATGGGCTGAGGGATGAAGAGGGTGAGACCCAAAATATGTGCCTCATGACCTTTTAACTGTGGATGGGCTGTAGTCACACTTTTGCTCTTTTGATAATTATAAATTTTAAAGTCTAGGGATCATCAATCCTGTTTTATTTGCTGATTCTATAAACAGGCAATTCCAGAAATGATACTTTTACAATTCAGGAGAGAAAAAAACAATTTAGGTAATGCACAAAACACCTAAAAAAATAAGCTTATACTTTCCCTAAGTTAGCTATTCTTGAGACAGTTTTTGCCTTGCATTAATTGCAATTTGCATCTTTTACTTTTTTGATATGGTGTGATATATCAACTCGGGAGTGATATCTGGACAATTAAAATAAAATGGTAATCTTATATACATACATGCATGAATCCATGATTAAACATTTCATAAACTTAAATTTAGATATTTTTTAAAGCTCTAATGCATATCTGGAGTGCCAATATTAAATGTTATGAAATAATTCATGGTACTATCATACCTGTTTTAAAAGTGTATAGTTGGAGCCATCGGTGCTAATTTTCCTTATTTCATGGTGATCAGCAAGAATTAGAAAAGGTTCTTCATCTAAATAGCAAGCCAAAAATACATATTAGACTTTTACATGTATGGTTTTCAACTCTGCTTAGTTTCAGTTTAGTTTCTGCAGCAATATGAATTCAAATTCAGTGCCCTTAGGAGATAAATAGTTAAAAAACTTATAGTGAGCACCTTAGTTGATAATAAAATGAAGACAGCAGTTCCCCGGACACTATAGAAAATCTACAAAATTCTAAATGCCTCCCTCTTTTTCCCTCAATTTTCTTGAACATTAAACTATTTTATTTATTTGGAATTTATGGAAAGTATCTGCTGTTATATCTGATTTTTTTTAATGAATTTCAGAAAAGGATAAGCTACTCCTATCTTAGAAAGGTACAGTCCAGACAAACATACATATAGTCAGAAAATTATTTCTTGACAATCAAATAACCAGATTATGCTTTCAGAACGACTTTGGGGAAAGCCAAGAGTATCATTGCCTACATACGATTTTTTCATCTGCCTGACAACTTCTCTTAAATAATTTCTGAGCTCCAGGTTCTATAACCTTTGTTTATCAATTTTACCTTTCCTCATGAATCTGATTTGTTTAACCCTTTAATAGTCTTTATTTCCTTTTTATGGTGTGTCCAATATGTTTTAGTGTCTCACTTGTTCTAGAATCTAGGTAAGATAATAATAAGAACCTAACTATGCTCAATATATATAAAGATCCTCTAGACTTTTAGATTGTTTTTCTCTTCAGAAATCATTTGCAAAAGTATAATGGATACTTAAATAAAATATATGCAAAATTTTTTATATAGTATATTTATTTGCATACATATCTGAATAATTTGAAGTCAATTTGACCACATTCTTGATTGTTATTATCCTAGGTCAATTTAGTAAATATCTTGTTCAGTAATTCCAAATATATTTGTTTCTAAGATATACTCATTTACTTAGTTGCCAGGTAAGCAAATTTAATATTAGCAATGATTAGAAAAATTCAATTAAACAGGTAGTCACTTTATATAATTTAAAGTGGATTTTATTGTAAATCATTTTACACAGTTATTACCCTGTTTGTTTATAGACAAAATTATTACTTTCTTCCTCTTATCCTTTAGTTTCACAACAAATATATAACATATGGGATACTATATGTTTTAGTGTATATGTCAGGGATTAGAAATGTGTGTCACACATGCTAGACAGACATCCCTTCCATCAGTGATGGCAGCACCCCAAATCAATCACTCCAGTCTTCCTGTTGGCTAAATTGAGACTTAGAATACTACTTAAGAGAATCACTTCTAAAGTTAAAGGTACCTTGCCATCTCTGTGAATGTAGTTATACATTTGTAAATATAAAATTAGTCAGTTATGTTCTACCTCAATATTTAAGTAGTTCTGTTCTGTACAACTTAAATGTAAGACCTGAAATCACAAAAATCCTAGAAGAAAACAGGGAGAAAAAGCGTCTTGGTAATAATTTTTTGGATATTATGTGAAAAGCACAATCAATAAAGGCAAAAATAAATAAGGGGGGCTATACAAAACTAAAAAGTTCCTGTGCAGAAAAAGAAACAGTCAACATAATGAAACCTACAGACTGGGAGAAAATATTTTTAAACCGTATAGCTGATAAGAGTTCAATATACAAAATATATAAAGAACTCATACAAACAAACAATTAAAAAAAACTATACAATCATCTAAAAATTGCCAGAGGAATATACAAATACCAACAAGTACATGAAAAGATGCTGGACATCACTAATTATCAGATAAATATAAATCAAAAACACAGTGAGACAGCACCTCATATCTCTTAGAATGACTGTCATCTAGAAGACCAGAGATAACAAGTGCTGGTGAGGATGTGGAAAAAGGGAACCCTTGTACATTGTTGGTGAGAATGTAAATTTGTAGAGCCACTGTGGAAAAGAGTATAAAGTTTCCTAATAAAATTAAAAATAGAACTACAATATGATCCAGCCATCTCACTTCTGGGTATACATCAAAAGGAATGGAAACAGGATGTCAAAGATACATCCATAGTCTCATGTTTATTATGGCATTACTCACAATAGCCAGGATATGAAAACAGCCTAAGTGTCATCAACAGATGAATACATAAAGAAGATGTGGTGTGTGTGTGCACACACGCAACGGTATATTATTAAGCCCTGAGAAAAAATGAACTTCTGCCTTTTGTGACAACATGGATGGTCACTGACAACATTATACTAAATAAACAAGTCAGACAGAGAAAGACAAATGCTATATGATATCACCAATATCTGGAATCTAAAAAGGCCATAGTCATAGAAACAGAGTAAAATGGTAGTGACCAGAGCCTGAGAGGTGGAGGAAGTAGGGAGATGTTTGTTAAAGAGAACAAGCTTCCAGTTAGAAGGTGAGTACTTTCTGGGATCTAATGTGCAGCATTGTGATTACAGATAATGATACTGTATTATATATTTGAAAGTTACTGAGATATTAAATATTCTTACCAAAAAATATAAATGGTAATACATTAAGTGATGACAGTGTCAGCTAAAACGGGGTGGTAAGCATATTGTAATACTTAAGTGTACCAAATCAGCACATTGTACAGCTTGAAGTTACACATTTTACAAGTCTGTTTTATCTCAATGAGGTGGAAAAAATCTAGCCTCTTTAGCAAAAGATTCACACTTCAGGAACACATTTTTTTGTATCAAAATTACTATTTCCTGATTATTACTGCTAATGGCAAACAATTACATCATGGATACATGGTGTATTTGACCTAAACTATAATCATTAGTATTTCTTTCCTTTATACAATCCTTTAAGAAAAGTTTAAAGTTATGGAAACATTGACTGGTTTTGAGATTTTATTTCTTCTTCTTATTCCATATCACTAAATGCATGATGTAGCAAATAGGGCAAAGACCAAAAGCAGGTAGTTTAGAAAATAAAACAATAGGCTGCAAATAATATACACATTGGTTCAGAGATGAATATTCCAAGAATAAGTAAAAGTGAAATGAAAAATTGAAAAGAGTTATTTTTGCTCTCCATAATGTGCAAAGGTCTGACCAGTTAAAAAACTAATTTTAAAATTCCTATTCCTCTTATTTATTGCATGAAATTAAATGTCACCAACACACTTATAGTTAAGAACCTGGCAATACTATTTTATTCATTATACTCAAAAGCAACGTAAGGGGGATATAGACACATTATGTACCATATTTTGCCCATTTGAATGGCCATTAATATATACTGCTTTGTATCATTTCAGTATGAATGACTTCCTTCCCTAATGGAATACAATATTTTTAAAATTATCAGCCATGTTTTATTTAATTTTCTAATCCACAAAGTCAAACATACTACTGGAAACAGAAATTTAATATTTATTGAATCACTTTTGGAAATCAGTCCTTTAAAGCTGATTTACTGTTGTCATCATTATTACTACAAGTACCATTGACCTGTTGCTCTCCCTGATGTGTATATATGAGTGCATATTGTGTAGGGGAGAAGGAAAAGCTATTACAACACATAACAAAGGGCTCTTTAATGGTCTTTGCAAACCTGTACCTAAGAATTACCTATATGATTCATCAGGAAGCAATGCTAGAGATAGTTCCTTCTCCCTGTGCACACTTTCAAAATCTAGAAAACACTTAATAATTCACAAGACCATAATGCAATTTTATTACAAACAGAGCATTTTGTGAACAGCACACAAAAATCAAAGTGGCACATTCCCATATCAAAATAAATAGGGAAGAATTTTAACCTCTCAGAAACAGTAAATAGGAGTGAATTCAGGAAGAATGGCTATAAAATTCAGGATCCATTTGTGTAACTGAGGTTGGCTTAGTGAACAAGTTCAGTTTGGTACCTGAGAGTGATGTGCAGCCATTTGGGTTATCAGGGTGTATTTCATACCCATCTGTACAGAGGCACTTGTAAGTCCCATAGGTATTGATGCATTGCTGGCTACATGGAAAGCCTGAAGAGCACTCATCAATGTCTACACATGTTTTAGCATCATCCTTCAGTTGGAATCCAGGCCAGCATTTGCACTGGAGAATAAGAAACAAGCATAATCAATTCACATCGTCATCACTGTCTTTTCCTATTGGCTATCTTTAGCATGATTCAAGCAAGAACAGCACTTAAGAATAGGTAACGTCAAGTCTTTCTGTCCCTCAGCAATTAAACTTTAATAAGAATTGCATAAATTAAGTAAAGTTATAGTTAAAAAAGGATTCTTCATTTGATCATCTGAGGTTGGCAAGATTACAAAGTTAACTGACATCACCGAAGCCGAATGGCTAGAGAATGGCAAAGAAAACAGAACTAGATAGTCAACTTATTTTATTCTTTTTCAACTGCATTTATATTGTCTTTTAACAGGACTTTTAGAAAACTTTAATACTCATAAGAATTAACCCTGTGTAGAGCTCTGAAGATTACTATGCTGTCATAGTAAGTTATGGTCATATGTTGTCACATGTTATTTAATTAGAGCCTTACAGAAGTCTATGATGTAGGTATTATCCTTAGCTAACCGATGAGAGATCTAGAGGCACAAGATGAAGTTGCCTAATAAAGCCAATAGGAGAGCTGAGGCTGTACCACAAAGTAAGGCTCAGTTAATAATTATTGACTGGATCTGACTTCAAAACCTAACATATTGATGTTGTCAGGAGAAATAATATTAACATAGCTTTCCCACCATAAATAAATCAGTTTGTATCATAAAATCTTTTCTTCAACGTCTCTGTTAAGTTCTGTATTACTCTTTGATAATAATATGCAATATTTACTAACTGGCATGTCAATTCTGAGCATAATGTCATGCAATATACATATTTGCATTCCATAAAATAACTAGGTGGTGTGATTGGTCACTGGCTTTCAGTTGCATATTCAGTTCCTGACAAGTAGCCTATGGAAATGATTATAGAAGATGAATCTATAATTGGCCAGATGATTATGATCATATAAACCTTTATCAAGTCTATTCAGGAATTCGTGAGTATTGAATTAAGTTGGGACTCTTAAGTTGTTAAGAGTAACTAGTACTCAAAAGTTATTTATAGTGAACATTTCATAATCTAGATCATTTATTTGAGGGTAAAAGTGATGGCAGAGCTTTGTACCTATTTGGGTATATATATCCATATAATATGCAACTATTAAATAATCAGCAAACTATTTGTTAAGGGGTAGATTTTATTTTTATTATAAAAGATGTTCATTATTTGGAAGGTAAGCAACATCAACTTCAAATGAAAATGTTGAAAAGATAAATACCTTTTCCTAAATCCTTTTACAAGGAATGAAAACTTTTAAGCTAATCTTTCCTCATTAACAATTTACACTGGTATTAATCTAATAATCCTCAGTAATTCTAAGAAGTTTTTAAATCTCCAGAACCCACTAGCAAGCCAGCCAATCAAAGCAAATGCAACTGAATTTCCCAAACTCTCCGCATCAAACCCTCCTCTTCCCCATGTCTCCTGTCTGTGACATTATTACTTGTCTTGAGAAGGCTCATCCTGCTGCCTGATTTAGGAATTCAGGAGAATTGGTGCTTTGCTATGGCAAAAAAAGAGAGACTGAGAGGATACAAAAAGTTATCACTCAAAGGACTGGGAATTAGATCACGTGATCATGTGCTCAGGAAGCCAGAGGACCTCCAGGCATAGAGCAGTGTTGAATTCAAGGGGAACTTTACGACATGTGAAACGAAATATTATAGAATTTGTTGAATTCTTCTCAAAGAGTCTAATAAAAAGAAGCAAACAGCGTCTCAATTTTAATGCGATTTCTGAAAATCACTTCAAATGGCTAATGTCAGGCTTATAAAACCATTATATCAAATAGCATGGATGAAATACATTTATAGAAAATTAATTTATTGAGGATAAAGTTGGTAAAAGCTACCAAGTGTAATATATATTTCTGTAAACATATGAAATTAGGATATTTAAGGTTTATAATTTTTTTAAATACTGTTGATTGAAAAGATTATTGATTGAAAGAGATTTTTAACAATATATTTTCCTCCCCAAAACATTAACCTTATTTTAACAAAAACATTTTTCCTCATAAATAATCAAAAGGAATCTGTGGGAAATTCTACTAGCTTCATAAATGTAATGAAATTTGCATCTTCAAAGATAAAAGATAGAAGGTCATCTATATTTAACAGAAAACAAGTTTAAATTTTTCTCACCTTCATTTAAAGACAATTTTTATGAAAGTGAGATTTATATATATCCAATGTCATACTAATTTTCCTCCTCATCAAGAACTATTTCAAATATCCCTGATTTGTATTAGTTTTTACGTAGGGTAATTTAGCTACCAGAAATAAATAGAGCTACCCAAACTTTTCCTATTACTTTCAGGAAAATCTCTTTGCAGCTCTTTAAGTAACAGATTTTAATTTGACAAATATTGATTGTTTTATTTTGACTATATGCATTAAAACTTACTTCTCTCTCAGAAGTACATTTACATTTATATGGTAAATGATCCTTCCTATCAAAATAAGATTCTTGTCTTAGTAAATATTTTACCTCCCTACTGAATAGCTAGATACATTGAAATTTTTTACAGCAAACATGAGAATTGTTCACAGTCCATAACGTCCAAATTTTGCTTTGTAAGCAATTTTCATTCTATTGCAGAATTTGGAGGAGGATTTCCTGTTTCGTTCAGCTGGTATTGTAAAGAGAAATAGGTTACTGGGAAATTTTCTTCTTTCATTGGAAAAGAGTATCCCATTAGCTGACTTGTTTTTCCCCCAAAATAGAAAAGATATAACTCTAGAACATTAGATATATAAATTTCATAAATATGTATATAAAAAATTGTTCTTTCTGCTTATGTATTCATATATATATATACATATATATATATGTATATATATATATGTATATATATGCACACACACACACACACACACACATATATATAATCTCAGCACAATATGTAAAATATTTGCTTGGTACCTTTGTTTCAATCTCTTATTTATGATTCTAGTCTTAGCATCTTGAACTTTTATAGTGGTCTTGTTTTCCCCAAAAGATACTTTATGTTATTCACTAATTTTGACATATATACATATTCAGTGACACTTCCCAAAGCAATTCTCTCAGTTATCATACACATAGACTTTTTGAATAATCAAATAAGACATTGTCTATTTTAATGAGGACCTTCACTTCATTCTATGACCCTTTCAGAAAAGTCAAAGTGAAAGTAGTAGTATTTTAAATGTATCAATAAACAAGTATTTCTGTGTGAGAAGTCTTGCAAAGTAATTAAAATAGTATAAAGTAATCATAAAATAGTATGATTTAACATAGTCTTCTGGGTGATATTTACTTCTACCACAGTAGTTTTCCAAATATGGTATTTCTGTTAACTAAGAACTTGTTTATGAAGATATTTAAAAATATTAAACCTCATTTTGAATGTTATATCAAAAGGTGACCATTGGTATTTTATAGTTTTTAGATTTTACCACTTAGATTGTTATGACAGATTTTAAATACACACAGCTTAACACAAATCATCTTTTAAATACAAATGTTAGACATTTAAAACATTTTAAATTTAAATATTTTGCAATTTAAATTTTAGATATACATATTCCATGACATATGTACTAGATATATAGACTTTTAAAAATGTATTTATCATACAGATAGAACTAAAGAGTTATTTATAAACTTGACTTAAAATTTTAACCAGTTAGCTCTAATAATTCTATGATACATACCCTGATTTTTAAGGAAATATTTCTATATTGATTGTACATAAGTCACTAAAAACACTTTCCTACTTTATTGGATTTCAAAATATTTACTGCCAAAATTAATTATTTGATAAATAATCATCTCATTAAGAGCTATCTTTGCTTATTTCTCATTTCCTTTTACCTATAATAAGTGTTTGAGAATCAGTGCATGTGTTGTTTTAAGCCTTTAAATTTAACCAATTCTTCTTAATACAATATTGGGTATACAACATTTTTTTTACAAATGTAGCTTTCTTGTTATTTCATTTTTATCTCTACTTTTAAACAGGGGAAAACTATTATTATAGTTCTTAGGTTATATTTATATACAGTAAAATTCTGGTTAATGTAATTAAATTAATCATATCAGAAATTCAGAAATTAAAAATGACAAAGTGGTTGTTTGGCTGAATGTACTATTGAATAGAATTGGATTGTCATAGAATGTCAAGGCTGGCAGAGAAAATGTCCCAATATCTTTGCAATACACACATGTTTTTTTCTCTAGCATCCTTTGAAGACATTTAGCCACAGCTAAAACCCCTTTACTTGTGAGAAATTAGACAGTTCATTCCAATGTAAAGAGTTCTTAGAACGGTCTTCCTTATACTGAACAGAATGTGCCTCCTAACTCTAATCTTTGAAACAATTCATACTAGGTATACATAAGAGGTATACCTATTCCAGTACTTCATATATGTAAACACAGTTAACAAGCCATTTTTGCTCCAGGCAGCACTTGTCCCAAGGTGTGTGTGTGTGTCCAGAACTCTCATGTCTCTGGATGCACAAATTTGTACACACTACAATTCATCAAGGTTCATCTTTAAGTGCCATGTCCATATGTGCACAGTACCTCAGGGCCATTCTGATCAGTGAGGAATTCAGTAGAATAGAATCTAGTTTCTGTAATGGTCCTAAGTGGCATTAGATGGTCTTTGTGTTTTGTGGTAGCCATGCCCTCTTGCTGATTCATACAGAGCTAGTGCTCAGTAAAAAATACCAATTTTCCAATGAATTGCTCTTCCTGAGATGTTCCACACTTATATAATCAATTTTAACCTAATACACAACTTTAAGGTTACTATGGTATTCATTTGCATCCTCTATTCCAACATGAATGAGAAGATGTTTTTAAAAACTATTTCTGTCAATCAATGTTATCAGTGAATCACCCTCTTTAGGAAAATGGTATTAAAAAAGCAAACAGGATGCTAGGCATGACTTATTTGTAGTGTACTTGCACTGAGCCCTAAAAATTCATGTGTTCTGTTTTTTTCTTCCTACTTATATGAAAAATATGTTAAATTCCAGTGTTGTGGTAAATAAATGACTAGCCCATTTCATTTCAAAGACTAATGAAATGAGAGACAATGAGAAAGAAATAGGAATTTAAGAGTCACATTCATATTTATGCAGCTAATAACACAGAAGTACATCCCTAAACGCTCTTGCTTATTTTTTCTTTATAGTCAGCATATATTGAAAACACTTCGATTTTTTTTTTGTCTTCCTGAGTGTTTTTTCACAATTTTTATACCACACTATTACTATGGTTTGGTAATGCAGATACTTCCCATTTAAGTAGCTTTATCTAACAATATTGTGATACCTTTTAAGTTTTACAGCTCTATTGTATCAAATAGTTTTAATTATCTCACAACCTAATGTATCATATGATCTGCTATTTTTGATGAGTGCCCACCTTGTAGCTCACTGGAAGGTCCTGACAATCTTGTGAACATCCACTGACTTTCTTACTCAAACACTCATTTATATGGCAGTTTCTCTCATCTGAGCCATCACCACAGTCATCCTTATTGTCACAAAGACCTCCACTGGGAATGCACCTGCCGTTTTTGCACATAAAAAATGAACTGTTGCATGACTGTTCTGGAAAAAGAAAATAAAACAAATGGAACATAAAGGGCATGCCATTGTTTTATACTACAATTGTTGAAAACATTCTAAAATATGGTAACTTATCTGTCAGAAATCGTAGTAAATATATGCACATATAAAATGCTCTATATTCAGTGTAATATTTTTGTATATAAAACATAGAAAACCAAGGGCACACTGCACTTTCATGTACCATACTTATTGCAAATCTTGCTTTGCCATGAAATTAATAATCAAAATAAGCATCTGTAGTAAAATTAATGGAGTATTTCTGTCTTCATTTATACAGTAAAGAATGAGTTCAAAAGTGTAATGATAGTTCAACATTTCCCTCAAGCCAATAGGTCTCTGAGAAATTACATGCCACTAAAATTAAAAATCTAGAATAGGTAGATATTTCTGAATTATTTTTCTTCCTGGAACTATAACATTGACATTTTAAGTCAGAGCATAAAAAGGACATTTGTGGTGAATAATAGTTGTCCCAAATATAGCTATGGAAAAGAGTTCAGGTTCTGTAGTTACTTATAAGCTGGTGACTTGAACATTACTCATTATCATACATGGTAGAAGAAAGTAAAGTACATGAGAAAAGAGTAATTGGATTTATTCTAGAATATATGACTATGTATTCAGTCTTTCAAATAGTGAAGTGATAAATAGATGAAGTTCAGCTATGTTATATATTTCTGTTCAAGTGATGTGCAATTTATTCCGTTTTGCTGAAGTATGAATAATATAGACTTTTTCTCAGTAAATCTCAACTTCTTTTATGTTTGACTTTTCAAATAGGTCCATACAGGGAAATTATCTTCACATAAAATAATATACTAAGAAACAAGGACATTTTGAAGGGGCCAGGGTGATGGATCCATCAGGTTCATTGCCTCAAATCTTCACATTTTTGGCAGAACTTTAAATTTCTAAAGCAAAGCTTAAAAGCATAGTTGATTACTAGGGTGCTGCAGAATATCATGAGAAAACTCACATTTAACTATTGCATTTCCTTTCATTGTATACCATGTGAGCCTGAAAATTAGAGTCACAGTTTTGGCATTAAAAAGACACCAATTTTGGAATAAATACATGATATATCTTCTATACCTGCACTTTTGCACCTAGGGTTTAAAGGTGCTTCGTCAGAATGGTCAAGGCAATCGAAGTCTCCATCACACTGCCACTGAGCATTTAAAAGACATCGTCCATCAGCACAACTAAATTCTTCTGCATTACACTCTCGATATCCTACACACAGAGAAATAAACATTCTAATTCATATAACAAATACTAAAACTTCATCTCTAATGTACTATATACCTAATTAATCCTAGGGTTACCCACGCTTCCTATGGAAAATATTTCCCATTTCTTTATGGGACAATGTTCATACCTGCAAGAGATAGCATGTGTCGTTGGGAAATAAGATTAAAGTCCAGAAAATAAAGCTGGAAACACGGCAGTCATTGTAGCTATGTAAGGAAACAAGAATGCAGCACTCAAGTATACCTTCTCTGTTCACCTATTACCTATCCTAAAGATTTCCATTAAAATAGAAAATTAAACTGAAAGCTATTGGAAATGTTTTCCAAGTCTAAGCTTGGATAGATAAAGTACTAGAACATATGGATGAACTGAATCTAAGTTAGAATGATAATTCCCAGAAGCTATAATGTCATGTGTATGTTTGGGAAGCAGCATTCAAAGTGTAAGAAATTGTTAAAATGAAAAAAATTAAGTCACCTTATAGGGTAATAAGCACAAAACTATTTTAATTACCTTATATGTTGATTCTTAATGGCATTAAAA